GTTCTTATCCACCCCACTTCTCTTTCGCTTTTAATCTTATTAACTAGCAGCTGAGTCTCCTCCATACCATCCTTACTGTCTATCCTCCAAGTTACTGAAGTCAAGGGGCAGAGCTATTCATTGACTAGTGTGACATTGTACATTGGGAATACAAATCAGTTGTAACTGCTCTCCCAGTTAATATCCTACTCAGGGGGTCATATAGAATTACTTTCTGAACTCAATTCTACCACATTTCACTCCTGCCTGAGCATCAACCTAGGGCCTGGAGAGATGGCTCAGTACTTAAGAGTGCTACAAACCCAGGCTTGGTTTGTTACACCCATATGATGGATCACAACCAGCTGTAACTCCAGTTCTATGGATCTGATCCCCTCCTTTGGTCTCTGCAGGCTACTGCACATACATGGTGCACACACACACACACACACAGAGCTTATGGAATCTAGTGAGTTACAGGAAATCCCAGAGGACTCAAAATACAATTATAAGTATGTTCAAATGCACAAATATCTGAATCAAATAAGGAAGACAATGGATAATATGAATGAGGAATTAAAGACACTTATCAGAAATGCTGGAGATAAAAGGAACAGTAATTAAAATAAAAATGTATGTGGAATGTCTCAGCAATAGAACGGAGCTAGGATAGGATACCTGAGCTTGAAGACAAGATGGAAGAACTAGAACAATCCGAAAAAGATAAACAAAAGGGTACCAGTGGGAATTTCAAGATACATGACACTCTGAACAACAAAATCTGAAGTTATAGGCATCAAAAAAGAACCACCTCAGTCTGAAGGCACAAAAAACATTTTCAAAAAAATCCAAAATGAGTTTGAGGCCAGGCTGGACCGACAGCCTCCAAAACAATACAGAGAAACCCTGTCTCGAAAAAAAAAAACCCAAAATGAAATAGCCCAGCTTTAGGAAAATGCCAGTCCCAACACAGAAGGGAATTAGGACCAAAACAACAGTACACAAAACCTCCCCTACTCATATTAAAATGAAAACCCTGCATGAAAAGAACAAACATAAAAAGCATACCAAGAAATGCCAAGCCTGTCACATATAAAGGCCCATCAGAATAACAGACTATTCACGTGAACTTTAAAAACCAGGAAGGCCCGGACAGACAGATGTATTTAAAGTTCTGAAAGACAACTGCCACCCAGACTACTGTACTGTGGGGACCGCCACGGGCTCATGTATTTGGCTACTTGGTCCCCATTTGGTGGTGGTATATGGTGAGGTTGTGGGCAGGATGCTTAGTCTTACTGGAGGAGCAGTCACTGGGTGTGAGCTCTGAGTGTTTACAACCTTGGTCCACTTGCGGATCCCTCTCTGCTCCCTGTGTATAGTTGTAAATGTGCACAGTCAGCTTCCCACTCCTACTTCCCTGCCTCCCCCACCATTATTGACCCTCCGTCTGGAATGGGAAGCCAATATAAATATTCCTCTAAGTGGACTTCGGTCAAGGTGCTCTACTACAGAAACAGAAACAGCAAATTTGTCTCTCATACCTGAAGAAAAAACAAGAACTTCCCATGATAAGAACAGGCTAAAGGAACTTATGTCCACTAAGCCAGCTCAGCAGAAAATACATGAAGAAATCTTTCTGACCAAAGGGAAAAACAAATCCACCTCCACAGCCACAGAAAAGATAAGCCATGTTAAGGTAATAGTTAACTGAGAGGAGAGGAAAAACACCAAACACTACAGAAATCGACCCGATGTTAGGGATGAATATACAAGTCACTCTGAATAGTAACAGTCTTGATCAAAAGACACTAAATGATTGGAACAAAAGGCAGTGATTATGTATTGTATTAACCGGACTCCGTGGGTTAGTTAAAAAGGACATGAAGTTGGTAGAGGAACGTGTTGTAGGCAAGTATGGGAAGGGGGAATGCCAGAGTGGTGTTTGGATAAGGCCAAAATACATCCTACATATGTACTTGTGATAATGTTCTCAATTAACAATCAGGCTAGAGAGACGCCTCAGGTGCTCTTCCAGAGGACCAGGGCTCGACTTCAGCACCCATGTCAGGTAGTTCACAGGCACCTGTGTTTCATCTCAGGCGACCTGACTCTCTTCTGGTGTCTATGTAACACCTGCATACATGTGAATATGTGTATATAAAATTAATAAGCAAGTGTCAGTGATCAACATCAACAGACTAACAAAGTAAACTAATGTGGCATGGCATGTGTGTATACATACATGTTGGGAATTGAACCCAGGGCTTCAGGGAGACTAGGTAAGCAGTCTACCACTGAGCAATGCCCCCAGATCATATTCAGTAATTAAAACATACATTAGTTGTGTATGTGTGTATTCATGCCAGAACACATGTGCACATCACAGAACAACTTGTAGGTGTCGGTTCTCTTTCCTTCAATCATGTAAGTCCTGGGTACTAAACTCAGCTCATGAAGCTTGGTGTTATTATTGCTGAACCATCTTGCCAGCCCATAAGCTGTAATTTTTGCATGATTCATTGCTACCATTAAATCACAGAAAAACCTAGCAGAAGGACTGTATTTATTAGTTAGAAAGAACTGAAAACGCCCAACAGTGATTCCAATTGGCCATATGTGTGGTCTAGTAGAACTGTATTTCAATCTTCTGCATTCCATGAGTTAACCATTAAAGCATAAAAACATTTAAATAGTGACAACTCGTTGCAGGCATTCCCACAAATATTTTACCAAAACTAAAGTAGAAATACCTAATTATCTATCTTTAGAAATTACTCAAAGTATAGTGGGTGTGAGAAACAATGAACCTATGAGACACAGTCCAGCAAAAGAGAATTTAAGGTAAAAATTTAGATGTCACTTTTGAATTCAGACAGGATTTTTAAACATTTTATTTTTTAAAATGTCATTTTACATTCCAACCACAGTTCTCCCTCCCAACCCCCTTGCCTTCCCTCCCCCACCCCAAACCACCCCCCATCCACTCCTCCCAAGGAGTAAGGGCTCCCACGAGGAGTCAACAAAGTTAGACAGGATTTACACAATCATCAAATGTGTCTGCTTCTCCTGGTGGGCAGGGCTAAAGAGTGACTTAAGTTACTGCCTTAAACATTCATCTTATAGCAACCATGTTTTTATCCGCAGGGTTATTTGACCACCTCACTGCTGTAGAATGACTCTCAGTATCTTGGCTTTTTGGTGTACTATTAAGTTATTTTCTACTGTTGCAACTTTGGTTAAATTTTCAAAAATTGTATTTGAAGACAGTGCAGCATTTTTCCTTTCTCGGTCCATTTACTTGTGTAAAACTGCACATTAAATGTTTTTAAAATCACATTTGTGTATGGGGGGTGCACATGGTCAGAGGACAACTTACGGAAGTCGGTTCTCTCCCACTATATGGGTCTCAGTGACTGAACTCAGGTAACCAGCCATGGTGGCAAGTGTCGTTACTGCTCAGCTATCTTGCCCAGCCTGAAAAATTATTTGTATAAGGTCTGTTTATCCACTAAAGAGTATGTTTAAAAGATTGCAAATGAGCCGGGCATTGGTGGCACACGCCTTTAACCCCAGCACTCTGGAGGCAGAGGCAGGCGGATCTCTGTGAGTTCGAGACCAGCCTGCACTACCAAGCGAGTTCCAGGACAGCCTCCAAAGCCACAGAGAAACCCTGTCTCGAAAAACCAAAAAAAAAAAAAAAAAAAAAAAAAAAGCAAATGAATAGTTGTATAATTTTCCATGAAACTAAAAAAAATGTCAGGAGATAAATCTCCAACTAGAATTCTATCAACAAAGAACAATTTTTCTTATATTAGTTTAATAAATACAGAAAGTGGAAAAGAATCCAACTATTCTTTAAAAATTTAAAGATTTGTTTTCATTATGTATGTATGTATGCATGTGTGTATGCATGTATGTATGTGTACTGCATTCAAGCCTGGTGCCCGAGGAGACCAGAAAAAAAAATGGTTGGAGTTTCTAGACTTGGAGCTACAGGCTATTTTGAGCCACCAGGTGGGTACTGGGAACCAAACCCAGGACCTCTGCAAAACAGCAAGTGTTCTTAACTTTGGATCCATCTCTCCATCCCTGTCCCAGAATTCTCATACATCTGGGTGTTATCACTCATTCTGCCTGCTAATTTCTTTTACACAACCTTACTTACCAGAAGGTCCTCAGACCATCAAGAGTTCAAGATATGGCTTCATATTACTGTGCTTTCAATGGCTGTGTTCCCACAAAACTCTTGGGTGCAACACAATCCCTAGGAAAACACGGGAGGAGGGACTCTAGGGAAGTAAACAGGATTTCCCCTCAAGAAACCAAAAGCCTCTTCTACCTCACCAAGCTCCAGCAGGGAGACCCCAACTATGAAGAGGCCTCCACCATCAACAAACCTTTACTGCCCTGACAATGATCTGCAACAAAACAAGGAAGTAAAAATTACCTTTAGAGGCTTGAGGATTAAAAAAAAAGAAAAACCTCACTTAAACAAGCCACAATTAACAAGCCATAATCCCTAGTCCAGGAGGCGGAGCTGAAAGTGTCCCGAGTTTGAGGCCATGCTGGGTTAGAGGGACATTCCTAAAAACAAAACAGGCAAGCAGTGCTGTCTTCCCCAATGTAACCAGTCCTCATCTAGACCTTTGATTATTTTGGTAGCTAACATGAAATAGCTATTCAAAAGCCAGATATTTAATATAAGACTTACAGTATGGGAATGAGGATAAGCTTGGAACTGTGTTTCCTGACCCATGTATATATATGTCATTATAAAATAACCAGGTAATTCATGTCTACCCAATAATTTGACTAAGTTTTATACCTTTTCTTTCACACAAAACAATTCATTTTAGTGATTACTGTAACCATTACTAACAGGTAACCAATAACAACAGGAATTAGATGTTGATCATTAATCTTTCTGATAATTTTATTATACTACATAGATCCGTATTTCTTGTGATCCAAGAAACATCAAAAATCTAAAATTTGTTCTTAAAAATACAATATTGCACTTTAATTTTTGGCAATTTAATTAAAGGATATCTGAATAAAAAATCATACATGTACAATTTTTGTCTTGATTCATAATCAACAAAAAACTGTATTAAAGTAGAGCTTACAGAAGTGCCCCAAATCAAATATGTACAGTAAAGAGGGAACATTTCACCTGTAAGGGATGTCCAGTGTCCTGCATATAAATACCTCCTGTCAAGTACTGCCTATCCCCGTTCTGCCAAAGGGTATTGGTGAGAAATATTTCTGTCATCTTTGTCAAGACAACACACAAAAGGAAGTTTGTTCGTAGAACAGTTCATGATACTGTTCTCTGAAGGACTTGAAAAATCTGTCCTCCAGAACTGAGGTCCCAAGCTAAGCACCCCCTTTTAAATGGCTTCTCTTTACCTAACATCTTTTACCATTAGAGATGTAGATGTTAGTTGACATGTATTTTATGGTCAGTCCCTGTCACTACCAAAGGAATACTGAACATGCATCTGTTAAATTACTGTTACCTTTTGTTACAGTGCAGCAGGTGACATATTTACACTGACCCAGATTTGCTTTTTTATTTTTTAATTCATAATTAGGTAAACATTATAGGAAGCTACTTTTTCTTCCTGTCATTTTAAAAACTTGATTGATTATGAAGGCAGTTTTGAAATAGCTATTTGCAAAAACAGACACCAAGGTTTAGACCCACTCAACGGTCTATTAAACCTTCAGAGTCAAAAGAAACATAAATAGAAAACATTTATAATATAAATATACGACAGAGACATTGATTTTTGGCACCACTAAAAGACATCTGGAGGCTTTTTATTAATTCTCAGTTCCTCGGGAGTTTTGAACACTTCTAGCCATTAGCTATTTTCTTTTCCTTGAGAGGAAAAATGGTGCATGAATGAGAACTGAGTATTTCAAAAGCAAAGGGTTTCTTTTTGTTTCCTTCTACGGGCTGCAAGTGAGTAACTAGCTGTTAATGTCCATGAGCAGCCAGGGTGTTTAACCTGCCTTTGCATTTGACTCCTACCAAGAAGCAAATTTCAAATAGTAACTTATCACGGGAAGATAGGGGTTCATCTTAAACCACCATGTACCATTTGCATAGTTCTGCTATGATAAAAGTCATAGAATTATAAAGATATTAATGCATCTTATCTTAACTGTAACAGACTATTAAAAACAGTCTATCTTGGGTGTGTTAGTGTAAACTTAACAGGGAAAAACAGTCAATAGCAAAAAATTATCTTTAAAAATAGGTTAATGCTAAGAATAATAGCTTTAAATTTTTGTTTAAAAATAAGCTTAATAAACAAGAATACAAATTTCAGTCCAAAACTCAGCTCTTTTGAAATGCCCTATTTCTTGCTTACAGCAGAAAATACGTATTTCATAGTTTTCAACATTACATGTAAAAATGAGGCACTGTTATACATAGTTGAATATATTCACACAAATCAGTGTTTCTGTCTCCTCCGCAGGCTTGAATTTGCCCAATGGTTTCTGAACATCAAACTGTTCACAAAAATAAGTCTTCTGAAGGAGGGGCGTAAGAAAAACCAAGAAATGCATCATCTGCCTCCAGAACACTGGCATTCACTATAGAATAGTCGGAAGACATGCACACAGAATAGGGAACAGCTTCTTCCGTGAAGACTGTGTCAAAGTTCCTGATATCATCCGGTCCGGCCTAAAACACCAAAAACACAGCATCATTTACCTTCGCTTTTCGGTCATCAACTTATTATTAAGGCTAAATTTGTCTATTTTAACATGTTAAAAGGTTGCAGATGCTTACACACACACACACACAAACCTCCACCATTCTCTCTATATATCACCATCCCTATGGGCAGAAACAGCTCAGGGAGTGCTCCAGGGCAGTGTTTTACTTTTAGCTTGCCTGTTCAGTGTCAAGTTTGGAGGAGTGAGGCTGTGAAAGGCAGCTCTGTGGTCCTACAGAGATGGTTATGCAGCTGTCTCTGGGTGAGGACAAGCTTAGCTGGAAAAGCCTGGGGGATCAGCTAATGGGACAGTAAGATGAGCAAGGCAGATGCTTAGCTCCAAGGCAGTACTTCTCAGTATGACGACACTGAACCTTTCCCTTCAATTACATTTACAGATAGGAACTGAGATTCAAACTCAAGTGATGTTAAGGTAAAAGGCACGCAGCTCTACAGGAGATTCAACTGAATGACAAAGACAGGGACTCAGGGAAGGGAAAATAACCCCAGGATATCATTACTGTAAATCTACAAATTAATCAGAGAACAGGAAATGAACCTGGGATGCTAAATTCTTCCATGTAAGAAAACCTGCCTCAGAGTGAAGTTCTCTAAAGTGTAATCCATTAAAGATTTTAGAAATAAAAGGAATTTAAAAGGGGTGGAAGAAGCCGAGTGGTGGTAGGGTACGACTTTAACCCAGCATTTGGGAAACAGACCAGGGGGATCTCTGTGAGTTCAAGGCCAGCTTGGTCTACAAAGATACACAGAGAAACCCTGTTTCGAGAAAAAAAAACAAAAACCCAAAAACAAGGAGGGGGCAGCTTAAGAAGAGATGGCTCAGGGGCTAGGAGCACTGGCTGCGGGTAGAGCCAGATTAGCTCCTTCCCACGAACTCCACTTTCTGTTCAAGCCCATCTCCATTACTTTGGGTGGGCTGGGACTCAATACCTTTCCTGTCCTCCATTACGATCTTTTCAGATTTACTCTTAGTTCTGTAGCAGTTTACTTGCAGGAGTCCTTTCTCCCACCCAACCTCATTCCCTTAGGACTCCATCTTGTAGTACAGATCCAGCTTAGTTCTTTCACACCAACCCTCTCTGCCTTTCCTCCAAACCCCACCAAGTCTATTCCCTTCTGTTACCCCCTGACTAGCAAAGGCACTCTCTGCCAGGAACCCCAAAGCCACCACACTTGCTCAGGATCCAGAGGGCAACAGCAGCCAAAGGACAGAACTCTCAGCCAACAGCACCAAGAGCAGACAGTGACACCAAGAAGCCCTTGAACACTGTAACTCAGAGGCACAGATTCCAGCACAAAAACACAAACATGCACAGAACGGCAATGTGCCTCTACCAAAACCCAGCAGGCCCTGGAAAATGCATATGGCATACATACAAGTCAGGGACTTCAAAAGAGCAATCATGAATATAAAAACTTTAAAGAGGATAGGATATCAATAAGTCCCTTAATAAAGTCTGTAAAAATGCAAACAGTTGAATGAAATCACGAAAACAACTCCAGAAAGAAAAGTAAAATAAAGAAACAGAATCACTGAAGAAAACCCAAATTGAAATAAAACCGTAAATGAAAAATTTAGGATGCCGAAAGAAAACCTGAGAGGTAAGCCCCACCAAGTGTTGTGTAATGGCTTCCTCCCAGATTGAAACAGTCCATCCTACAGGTAAACTCCTTAAGCAGGAAGGTAAACAACTGAAAATAGCCTAGGAAGTCCCTGAAACTGACTAAATTCAGTAGGCCCCTCACTCTCAGAATAAAGAAGCCAAACTTCAGAGAAGATTCCGAGGCCAGACAAGCCTCCCAGGAAAAGCAGAAACCACTGACTTGCCTCCAAGAGGGTTAGATCAACTGAGCCTTGGGAAGGGACACTCTCCAGCTTGTTGAGCTGCTTGCAGGCTGTGCAGTGCAGTGTGTTCCAGGTTCCCAGATTTTGTGAGATGTTACCCACACTGGGGTGGGTTTTGGTGATGCAGCTGTCTTTGAGTCATTTCTGCTATTGTAAGTGACCCCCTCACCCATATTCCTGTAAGTAAGCCCAAAAAACTTGTTGTTTCACCAAGTTGAACTTTGGTGGTATCTGTAGTTTGGTCTGTCATGGGGTCTCTATCTTGGGTGAGTAGGTATGTGTGTTGCACCTCCCCAGGAAAAGCCTTGTTACACAACACCAACATGACTACACACAGAAACCCTGTCTCTAAAAACAAAAACCTGCAGCTAGAGACTTGCTTTGTGACCAAGTATGTGGTCAATTTTGGAGAATGTTCCATGAGGTGCTGAGTTCTTTTTATGACTGTCTTCAACAAATGATGCTGGTCTAATTGGATGCCAGCAGGTAGAAAAATGCAAATGGATCCATATCTATCACCCTGCACAAAACTCAAGTCCAATGGATCAAAGACCTCAGCATAAAACCAGATACACGGAACCCAACAGAAGAGAAAGTGGGGATAGCCTTGAAGTCGTTGGAACAGGAGACAACTTCCTAACTAGAAAGTCATTAGCACAGATGCTAATGGGACCTCATGAAACTGAAAAGCTCTTGTAAGGCAAAGGACACTGAAAATAGGACAAAACAGAGCCTATAGAATGGGAAAAGATCTTCAACAATTCCAAATCTGACAGAGGACTGATATCCAAAGTATAAAGAACCCAAGAAACCATCAACAAACCAAACAATACAATTTGAAAATGGGGGTTAAGCCCAGCAATGGTGGTGCACACCTTTAATCCTAGCATAATAATCAACATTCTAAATATATAGAACAAAGAAAGGATATTAAAAGCTACAATGGAGAAAGATAAAAGTAACATGTAAAGGCAGGCCCATTAAAATAACACCTAACTTCTCAATGGAGATTCTGAAAGTCAGAAGGGTCTGGACAGATGTTATAAAACTCTTAAGAGACAACAGATGCCAGCCCAGACTACTACACCTAGCAAAACTATCAATCATAATTGACAGAGAAAGAAAAACATTCCATGATAAAACCAAATTTAAGTAATTTACATCTACCAATCCAGCCCTACAGAAGGCACAGAGAAGTCAAGCTGGCATCTAACTAGAGCCTTCACCCCTACTAAACTTCCATGGTACTAAAAGGTACTCTGCACACTACTGGGGGAGAAAGGCAATCTTCAATACATTCTAGCTCCAAATCCTGCAACCCACAACAGTGATCTGCTTGCAAGAAATACTGGTATAATAGTGGCACAAATGTTATGGGAACCACCAGCCACTCTGACTGAATGTAAAGCCCGTCCATGAGACAGAAGCCACACTAAAGTGCTAAAGTGTCCAAGAACTTGAGACCATACATAAATGCTATACTATTATTAGAGGAAATACTAATGCCAGGGGAAAATATAATATTATTAGTCTGTTAAAGAAAAGTAACAGTAAAATGACTCCTAATAACATACGGAAAAAAATCAGTTTCCTCCAGTGGGGTCTCCCTAGGTGTACTACCTCCCATGAGGGCAGGCCCCGTGTTCAGGAGTACTTGGTCAACACAAAACAGACTCGATGGTATTTTGTAGACTTGGCTTTTTGCTTTGAGCATTTTCTTTCTTTCTTTTTTTTTCTTTTTTTTTGTTCTTTGTTTGGTTTTGTTTGTCTCTGGTTTATTTTGATTTTCATTTGTTCCATTTGTGTGTGTGTGTATGCATATTTTGCTTTTTGTTTTGTTTTTGTGGTGTGTTCGTTTTCCTTTTTGAGACAGGGTTTGTCTGTGTGGCTCTGGCATTCCCTCTGTAGACCAGGCTGACTTTGAACTCAGAGCTCCGCCTGCCTCTGACTCCTGAGTGCTGGGATTAAAGGTGTGTGTCATTACACCCAGCTGACTGTGGACTGTTTCTTTAAGGGAGGGAGAACGTAAGTTTGAGTGGGTAGGAAGGTGTGGAGGATAATGAGAAGAACTGGGGAAAGCGGAAAACATGATGAAAATATAACTCAATTAAAAAAATAAATTATAGCCGGCATGCCTTTAGTCCCAGAACTCAGAGGCAAAGGCAGGCAGATCTCTGAGTTCGAGGCTAGCCTGGCCTACAAAGCTACACAGAGAAACCCTGTCTCAAAAAACAAAACAAATTGTAACAGAAAATAACACTGGCTGCTCTTCCAGGGGATCCAGGTTCAAGACCCAGCACCATTTCCAAAATATCTGCATGCACACAGTGCACAGACACACATGCAGGCAAACACTCATACACACACATAAAAGAAAAATAAATCTTAGAAAATTAAAAAGGGAGCATTACTATTGCAGAGGCCCCAGGTTTACTCTCAGCATCTGTATCAGATGGCTCACATGGCCTTTAAATCCAGTTCTGGGGGATCTAATGCCCTCTTCTAGCCTCAGCAGGCACCAGGAATGCACGTGGTACTCATATGCACACTCACACACACACACACACACACACACACACACACACACAAGTAAATATTTAAAAATAATTTCACAGGGACTGGAGAGATGGCTCAGCTGTTAAGAGCACTGGCTGCTCTTCCAGAGGACACAGGTTCAATTCCCAGCACCTACATGGCAGCTCACAAGTGCCTATAACTCCAGTTACAGGGAATCTGACACCTTCACATCAATGCACATAAAATAAAATAAATTACTTAAAAAATTATTTCAGAGCTGGGTATTTACCTCAGTGGTAGAGCACCTGCTTACAAATTTCAGTCTTCAGAAACCCCCACATACCAACATACTCAAAAACACAGATACAAACCAACACCAAATACACCAAAAACCGTCATCAAATTCTATGAAATGTGTTAGTTGCAATTCCTTATATTATTACCTCCTCTCTGTACGCCTGTTTCCTCTTCAGTGAAGTAAGAATGGGGACTGAGCCCCTCTAACACCAAAGTATTCACACACAAATATATTCACACAAATATGTATACAGAGACCTTGTGCACATGCGTGTACACACACACACACTGGAAAAACCATCATTATTGTCACTTAATGTTGGTTGGTATGCACAGAAATGTTAATGGCTACCTCAGTTTCCATCTCTTTATTAGGATGATCCTTTTGACATTTGCAAAGAAACATTTCATAATTACTATGTAGGAAGATACTTAATTGAACTGTGATCTTATTGGCCACCCTAAAGTTGCTGTTGTTCTTATTTTGGGGGGGGGGCAAAGACTAGGCAAGTCCTCTACCCCTGAGTTAGAAACCTCTCAGTTGCAGACTGCACAAATACTTAGGAACTGACTCCTTTTCATTCAGGTTAGCTTCGGGAATCTATTTCCAAAAGTCATGGCTCTCTGTTTCACTACTTCAGGAAAATACAGACTTACCACATTAGGATTAAATGGTGGCGGGATCTTTTTTTGTACGAGGTCAGTCCAGCTGAGTGATTCAAAAAAAGGATGATTCTGGATTTCAAGCTAGAAAATTAAGAAAAGTTAGTGATGACATAAACTCAAGTACTCAATGAAGAATGGTACAAGGGTTAAGTACTTCCATTTGGCCCTCAGCTTTTTAGTGGGATATTTATGTCAGTCCTGGTCACACCCTGGAAAGACTAACTTAGAATCAGCTGCTTGTTTTTAAGCAATGCGCCTTCCACAGGCGTTTCCCCACACGTAAAATAGGGTCAGCCATTTTGTCTTACATATTTCAGGAGTTTTAAACGATGAGCACAAAAATGTGGGAAGTATTACAGAAAGAATAAACCATTAAGCAGGAACAAATAACTAGTATCTGAAAACACAGAAAAAGCCAGCAGCGTCTTATGCAGTGGACAGAAGTAAACGCCAAGGCCAGGGCTCCTCTGCCCCACAAACACACCACAAGTCAGCACAGTCCTTGTTGGAGCTTTTTATTGTCAGGGCTCTACAGAAGTTACAAAGTCCAATTCTACCAGCAGTTTGGCGGGTTAAAAAAGGATTTCTTAAAGCAATATCTGAAGTAGGCTAATTTTTTGTTTTTAGATTTAGTTTACTTTGAGGTTATTTGAAAGCAAAAGGCACACCTTATACAGAAAAGTGGCACTTAAAAATCCTTCTAAAGCTGGGTGTGAATGGTGGTGACACGTGCATTTACCAGTTACTAGGGAGGCAGAAGCCAACTGCTCTGAGTTCAAATGCAGCCAAGGTCATATGCACATAGTGAGACCCTGTCTCACAAACAATTCTTTTCTTTGTCCAGACAGATTTCTCTGTGGCTTTGGAGCCTGTCCTGGAACTCGCTCTGTAGACCAGGCTGGCCTTGAACTTACAGAGATCTGCCTGCCTCTGCCTTCCGAGTGCTGGGATTAAAGGTGTGCGGCACCAATGCCAGGCTCACAAACAATTCTTAAAACTTTATTACTACTATTTTGCGTGTCTGGGTGTTCTGCCTGCATGTATGTCTGTGTACCGCATGCATGCAGTGCTCCTGGAGGCCAGAAAGGGCACGGATTGCCTGGCACTGGAGTTACAGATGGCTATGACCTGTCATGTGGTGCTGGGGATCAAATCAAAGTCTTCTGGAAAAGCAACCACTTCTTGCTACAGCCCCTTCTAACGTTCTTAAGAAAGAAAATACTTCCGACGTTTACATAGCCTTAAACCCCAACAAAAGCTTATGAGTTGGGTAATTTGTGTTGTAAGTTCAGGGAAATGTCTGTATTATTTATCAACAAAAATTTAAATTTCTAAGGTTGGATGTGGCAGCATATTCCTATAATCTCAGCATCTGGGAGGCAGAGGCAAGTGGACTGCTGCTAGCTTGAGGTTAGCCTGCACAGCACAGACGTTGCCTAAAAACAAAACAAATATTAACTACAAAGTACAAAAAAAAAAAAAAAAAACTTCTGGGCATGGCAGGCATTTCTCTTTCTTTCTTTTTTTTTAAATTTTATTTTGGTTTTTCGAGACAGGGTTTCTCTGTATTGTTTTGGAGCCTGTCCTGGAGCTCACTCTGTAGACCAGGCTGGCCTTGAACTCACAGAGATCCGCCTGCCTCTGCCTTCCGAGTGCTGGGATTAAAGGTGTGCGCCACCAATGCATGCATTTCTAATCCTACTACTCTGGGGGCTGCGGCAGTGACCTTAGATTCTAAGCTAAGTAGTAAAACTTTCTTCTTCAGGGTTTCTCTGTGGTTTTGGAGGCTGTCCTGAACTAGCTCTTGTAGACCAGGCTGGTCTCGAACTCATAAAGATCCACCTGCCTCTGCCTCTCGAGTGCGGAGACTAAAGGCATGCTCCACCACCGCCCAGCAAAACTTCTTAAAAAAAAAAATTAGACAACAATATCAAAGTAGTTAAATGAAAACCAACAAGCAGCAGAGTACAAAAGCTGGAGGCTGGGTGTCCTGTACACGGTACTAAGATCAAGAGAAAACACAGCTAAGTTAAAGAACGCAAACACCACTGGAAACTGAGGACTAGAGTGCTCTCTTAACTCTGAAATAACTTTCACTACTCAATAGATAAGGACTTATCTCCACATTTGAAGTAAGGTCAACAACTGGTACTCAGAGATACGATACATACAAAGTCTTCTTTGGCACCAAGTCGATTCTGCCTGTTTTTTTCTAGTAGTTCTTCCAGAATGGACCATGCCGTGAGGCTCACTCCCGGCCTCAGGTTTAGGGGCTTATGAAGAATATTATCATACATTTCAGCAACATCTCGGCAGTAAAAAGGAGGCTGGAAAATAAACAAAAAAGCAAACAAAGCAACAGAGGTTAGTGAATTATGTGAAAGTGGTTTAAAGCATGTTGGACTCCCTAGTGAGGTGGCACACCTTTAATTGAAGCACTTGGAAGGCAGAGTGGATCTCTGTGAGTTCCAGAAAGCTCTACATAGGCAATTCCAGCCAGCCAGGACCATACAGTGAAACACTCTGTTCAAAAAGAAAACATGCTGGACTTGGCTCTCATCTTCAGAGAGCAGCTGGGTATGGACAGTTGCAGAGACTCACGGCCCTCTTGGGGATACTCACACAGGTAGGCGGTCTATGGCAAAGAGATTTTAAAGCCTAATGCACTATCAAGCTTAACACATACTCACTGGATAAAACAGGGTCAGTTTTTCCAGTGGCTCTTTGTAGACTGCTTTTTTTTTTTTTTTTTTTTTTTTTTTGGTTTTATGAGACAGGGTTTCTCTGTATTGTTTTGGAGGCTGTTGGTCCAGCCCGGCCTCAAACTCAGAGATCCGAGGGTCTCTGCCTCCTGAGTGCTGGGATTAAAGGCGTGTGCCACCATGGTCCGGCTGTAGACTGCTTTTAAGCCACACTTGTAATACTATGTTTTACAGAAAACAATGACTAGACATATAGCGTGGTGGTTTGAGTAGGAATCACCCCATTGGCTCATATACTTGAATGCTTAGTCTTCAGGAAGTAGTACTATTTGAGAATTATTAGAAGGATGAGGAGACATGGCCTTGTTGGAGGAAGTGTGTCACTAGGAGTGGGCCTTGAGGTTTCAAAAGCCCATGGCAGACCCAGTGTTTCTTGGCTTGTGGACCAGGATCTAGCGCTCAGCAATTGTTCCAGTGCCCTATTCCTCACCATGATGATAATGGACCAAGCCTCGGAAACTGGCAACAAGTCCCCAGTTAAATGCTTTCTTTTGTAAGAGTGGTCTTGGTCATCATGTCTCTTCATAGTCATAAAACAGAGACTAAGACACATACAGGTATGATGACAGAGTCACTGGAAATAGGCATTCCAGACAGATCAAGTATCAAATGATTTAAGATTTATAAATAAAGTCCTCCAAAAAGTAGATAGAGACCTGAAGATAGTGTTCCTTCATAAGTACATGTGATGATTACTGTATTGGGAGAATGCCTACAGCTAATTATCTAGCTAAAAGTTCTGAAATAAAAATAATATTTAAAGTTAAGGGAGTTTTATAGCCCTGTCAGTTTTCTTTCCTTTTTTTTAACAGGAAAAAATTTTATCTTTTAAAATATAACCTTATTTTATACTTCAAAATCCTTCAAAGAAATACAAAGGATTCTGAAATGTCTAGATGACAATTAGTGTCTTAATAAAGAGAAGGTATTAAGTGATTATCTGACATCCACTGTCATTAGCATTACTTAAAAAGTAGCTTTTAACAAGCTATCCACAGCTAAGGGAAGGACAGTGCTGTCTGTGTCAATTATTCTTTGGAATCTGAAATATGCTGAATTTCACAGAGCTCCATGTTTGCAGGAGAGTCAGTGTCTCTCTCTCTCTCCCTCTCTCTACACACACACACACACACATACACACACACACATACACACACACCCCGCATCCAAGAAAAAACAAGTATACTGTTAAGAAGATATATAAACTAAGAAGCCTAAACAGGTTGCCCTGGGCTGGAGTGGTATCTCAATGTAGTAACACAACCTCCATTTAACAAACAGCTCTGGCTTAGGTGTCTTACTGAAAACTGGAATTGCACACCTTCAAGCCATGGTAGTTTCAGAGAAGGCAAACAGGTGGTATCCCATAAAAACATAATGAAAGGCAAAAACCCAAAGGCATTATCTTTTAAAACATAATACTAATATGTTAATAATTGGAAACTCTTTATTTTCATAGTTTTGAAATTAGGCAGGTGATGCTTGGTATAAACAAATTGAAAGAAAACAAGTAAACTCAATGCTATGAATAGGCTTCTATTTCTAAAACTGCCAGTAGAAGGAAATGACTAAAGCAACACAGAAACAGTATATTGGTGTTTTAAAGTAATGAAATTTGCTGGGTGTGGGTGGTGCACACCTTTATTCTCAGCACTTGGGAGGCAGAGGCAGATGGATCTCTGTGAGTTCGAGTTTAGTCTGTCTACAGAGGGAGTTCCAGGACCAGCCAGGGCTATTATACAGAGGAACCCAGTCTTGAAACTCCTCCCCTGAAAAGAAACAAAGTTTCCCTCCATGTGCATATTCCTAATATGGTTTTAGACTCATTTAACAAGGCCAGTACTGCTTTGTTGGTAATATCTTTGAGATTATTGATTAGTGTAGTATCAATAGTGCACTGGAAAAATAGAGAGTAGAGATACATACCAGTCCGTACAGCATCTCATAGAGAACAGCGCCCAGGCACCACCAGTCCACAGTGTTGTCATAGGGCTGTTTCCTGATCACTTCAGGTGCAAGGTACTACAGAAAAAAAAATGTTACAGCAACTCAGTGAATGAGAGACAGAATTTAGGGATCAATAAAGCCAATAAATTGTAGGTGCTGTTACTCATACTAAAAACACAGTATCAAGCCTGGTGTTGGTGGTGCACGCCTTTAATCCCAGGACTCGAGAGGCAGAGGCAGGCGGATCTCAGTGAGTTCAAGGCCAGCCTGGTCTATAGGGTGAGTTCCAGGACAGCCCCCAAAACAATACAGAAAAACCCTGTTTCAAAAAACCAAAAACAAATAAAGACACAGTATCTAGATTTTCAATGAGTTGTACATTCTCATTCTGTCACAGTGGGTTTTTGGTGACGTCAACTAGAATACTTAAAATACAAGTCCACAGCACTCTTTACCCAGAGTCAAGGCCATGAAGAAGATCCTGAAGGTGCAAGATTATAACGTCGAGTATGTGCTGGGAGAAAGTCCTCTATCATTTTGGAATTTAGACAGGAATGGCAGTACATGCCTGTTATTCTAGAATTTGAGAAGGAAGATGTGAGGATCAGGACTTGGAGGTCAGTCTGGGACAAATAAAGACACTGTTTCAAAAAACAAATCCATCTGCTTATTACTGAAAACGTTTCCATTTAAAGAGCTCACCTGTGCTTACAGTCTCATTGCATGCACTTAAAGAGCTCATCTGTGCTTACAGTCTCATTGCATGACTGGTCTGCACTTACAGTCTCTCACTGCATTGCTGCAGTTGGCCTTGGACTCTTGAGCTCAGAGGAATTCCCTGGCACCATGCTCAGGTTAAAAACAAATTTTCTTAATTTGACAACTACCCATTTTTCCCCTTCATACTTAGAATTACTATTAAGAATTACAGTAGCCAATTCTCAAGCAAATTTAGAAAGCTTGTTACTTTAATTTCTAAAAACATAAAAAACCCAACACCTCATCACAACTTCACATACATTAAGTATAATAATAAGGTTAAATGACATTTCCATATGTGCATACATACATGTATACAGAAAGACTGAAAACAAACTGTAAGGATTACTACTAAAAATAAAATACACCTTTATTTCTCCTGGAAACATGATGAGAGAATGGGATGTGTCTTGGTAAATACTCATTTGTGGGTTTCTTTCGTATCTACAGTTTATTTTCTTATTAAATGACATTAACATAATATTCCAACCATGTATTAAAAAGTATCTAAAGCCAATAAAAATCGCTACACAATTATAAAATGTTTTTCCATATCTGCTAAGCTAATTTAAAAACCATCTTTAGATTTAATTTATTTTGTTGTTGTTGCTTTTGTTTTTTGAGATAGGGTTTCTCTGTATTACTCTGGAGCCTGTCCTTGAACTCACTCTGTAGACCAGGCTGGCCTCGAACTCACAGAAAGTTGTCTGCTTCTGCCTCCCAAGTGCTGGGATTAAAGGCATGCGCCACCAACATCCAGAAGACTTACTTAATTTTTATGTGTGTATATTTTACCTTCATTTATATATGTGGAGCACATGCATGCAGTGCCTCAGTGGCCAGCAGAGGGTTGTGATCCTCTGGAACTGAAACTGGATGGTTGTGAACCATATAGAGAGCATGGGAACTGAACCCCAAGCTCGCACAACAGCAGTAAGTGCTATTATCTGCTGAGCTGTATCTCCAGCCCTGACACAGCTCATTTTAAACACATCTGTAATAAGATATTTATGTACTATTCAATACTCTTTTAAAGTGTACAACTCAAGGCTGTCAGTATATTCCTGGTGTAGTGCAACTATTCCCATAATGAATTTTAGGACATTTTTGCTTATTTAGAAATAAAAATTCTTTTTAGAAAGATTAGAAATGTAATTACACAATTAAAGACATTCAAAGCATACTTTTAATACTAAAAAATATAAGTATGTTATCTATTAGATCATTTAAAAGGGTCTTGTGGCATTTCACAACCACAGTGAAAAATGTCCATTATATACTCCAAATCCCCCAGAAAGCTGGAAGCTCTAGTAAGTTTTATTTTGCCTCTTTTGTATATGCAGTATGTAACTTGTATTAGAGTTTATAAATTATATCAACGATCAGACTTATTTCTTACCTCTGGTGTCCCACAAAAGGTTGTGGTGGTATCAGAAATAGCAATTCCTTCTTTGCAAAGCCCAAAATCTGTTAAGACAACATGTCCCTGACAAATACAGGTCGGTGAGATAAAGCAAATACACGGACAAGAATTAACAAGCTTTACATTGTAACAATTATTTTTGTGGTGATAGTTTGCTTGTACAAATAAAGCCTGTCTGAAGGTCAGAGAATGGAGCTTGCCACTAGCTAACCACAGAGGTCTGGAGGTCTGTACAGCAGACAGAAAGTGAGGTAGCTGGGCAGAAACAGGATATAAGCAGAGAGTAACAGGAACTCATTGTCTTGTCTGCTGAGACGCTAAGGAGGTAGGGTGTGCTGTGGCCGGTTCCTTCTGTCTCATCTCTCAGCATTTTCCTCTATATCTGACTCCAGGTTTTTATTACTTAGAACAATTAACAACAACTCCATTTACATTTTATGTGTACGTATGTGTGCCTGGGTGAGTCTATGCATACCACATGAAAGGCCAGTGCCTGAGACTACTAGAAGGCATCAGATCTTCCGTAGCTATGGAGATACAGGTGGTTGTGGACCACCTGATATGGATGCTGGGAACCAAACCTGAAAGACTAGCAAGAGCTCTTGACCACTGAGCCATCCCTCTAGCCACTTAACCTTTTAAAAAACTTAATTAATTATGTTTATTTATTAACTGAGATGGAGGAGAATGCACAAGGGAGAAAAAGAGAGACCGAGAAATGTGTGTATGCAAAGATCGAGAGAAAGAGAGAAGTGCATGCCTGTGCAGTTCAGGAGACAACTTTTAAGGGATGGTTCTCTTTCCACCATTAGTCCTGGAGACTGAACTTGGGTTCTCAGACTCTGTGGCAAGTATCCTTCATCCACTGGGTAATCTTGCCAGCCCATTATTTTTAATTTTTTTGAGACAGAGTCTTATACATAGCCCAGGCCGGCCTTAAGCTTATTGTGCAGTGAGCTAATGATCCTCCTGCCTCCACCTCCCAAGTACTGGGATTACAAGACATGTGCAACTGTGCCCATTTTTTTTTCCTCAGTAAGGCGAATCCAGGGCTTCTTGCATGCTAGGCAATCACTCTATCCACTGAGTTATATCCTTGGACCTGAACTAGTAATTTTGAAACCTTTTCATTTTAAACTATAAAAACAAAATTGCAAAAAACAGTATAGAGTGTAACCTCATCCAGCATACACCAAAGCTGACATTTTGTTTCTTACATGTCAAGCAAGAAACCATCATTAGTACAAAACTGCTAACTACAATACTGACCCGCTGCTATTTTGAATGCGCATAATCCTGTGTGTACGTATGCAGTGCTATGTAATATATGAGTACTGCCGTAGCTGTCAGTCATCAGTCAAGATAGAGAACTACTTCATCACAAGGGGCCCTCTGTGCTAGCCCTTTATCTTTGTGGGCTCTCTTCTTTCAACACCGTCCCCTTATAAACACAAACAGGACTCCCCAAAACCTAATGTCACTCCAAGAATATTATAGAAATGCAGTCATACAGTGTGGATCCTCTAGTGATGGGGGGTGTCCTTGTCTATATATGCTTCTCTTCTTGGTTGATGAATAAAACACTGATTGGCCAGTAGCCAGGGAGGCAGAATAGGTGGGGTTACGAGATGAGAATTCTGGGAGAGGTCAGAGAGAAGGCCAGAGGAGAGTTGCCATGTAGCTGTTGGGAAGACAGGATGCTCGGAAGTTCTCCGGTAAGAAAAAAACCATGTAGAAATACATATATTAATAGTTATGGGCTAATAATTAAGAGAGCTAGCCAGTAATATGAAACCTGATCCATTAGCCAACAGTTTATAATTAATAGATGCCTCTATGTGTTCATTTGGGGCTAAACAGCTACAGGACCAGGTGGGAAAGAAACTCTAGGACATTTTACCTACCATGCATGACAATAATAACAACAACAAAACTACAAGGTTTTTAAAGAAGGTAACACTTACCATTGAATCCAAGAGAATATTTTCTGGCTTCAAGTCTCTATAGCAAAGTAGAAGAGAAGAAAAATCTGAGTATTGCCTGAAATGAGGTATATGAGAGTATTTCCAATGTAGTGTAAGCAAGTGACTCACCTGTACACTATTTTGATGGAGTGCAGGTAACCCAAGGCACTGGCGATCTCAGCAGCATAGAACCTCGCTCTGTGTTCAGGGAAAGACCGCTCTCTTTGCAAGTGGAAGAACAGCTGCAAAAGCAAGGGAGCTGTCGGCATCAGTTACACGCGGCATTGCACAGACACGCTGTCTCTGACACTCTGAACACAAGATGAAGGCACACGGAAGCACAGGGCTGCCTGTCCGTCTCTCTCATCTCCAGCCGTTTGTCTCTTAGAAGCTACTGGACTGTCTGTCTTCAAACGTGCATCTCTGATTGCCCTTGCCGACTTCCCCACATCCGCCTCTCAGCCAGCGTTCAATGTGACGGTCTCCACACCATTCCGGATAACCACTTTAGAGGAGCATACTAAGGAAAACCGACCATTTTGCTGTTGTCATATAATTAGCATACTAGTCCTCTGTGGATGGCTTAGTAAATCAAAAGCACTAGGCTGAGGTCTTTATATACTTGCATTATTTAATCTTTGCTATAGTCCTGAGGCAGGAAATCAATGAGGAAGCTAGTTCAGGAAGGCTGACCTGCCCAGCATGCCATCACTTATTTTTTGATACTTCCACTTGGCTCTAAAGAAGAGATTAAGTAGTACACAAAACTCCATATCCCATGTCACGACTGTAAGTATGACTATCAGGGAGGAAAGAGCTGGAACAGCAGGAGAGTTGGGGGCAGGGGCGTGCCTGAGTCTGAGGCTTACCACCTAGGCTATCTAGTGAGACCCTAATAGAAACAAACAAACAAACAAACAAAAGCCAGGTCTGGTGGCACATGCCTCGAAGCCCCGCACTCAGGAGAGAGACTGCGGCCAGTGTAAGGCCAGCCAGGGCTACATAGCGAGTGCCAAGCCAGAAAGAACTACATACATACCAAGGCCCTGTCAAAAACAAACAAGGACAACACGACACTGTCCTAAAAGAGAAAAATCAACAACAGAGACTACAGAATGAAACCGTATTTGCCTCTACCCTTTTTCCTGGTCTTTATTTCCAGCCTACTCACTGCCAGCCATATCTATCCCCCAACACCCACCAGCGCCGTCTATGGTACTTCATCATCCCCCACCCCAATTATCCTAGCAAAGCTCATCTTTGAGATGACAAGCCTGCCTCCTTCCACTGTTGCCGCTCAGGTTTGAACAACCTCTGTGTAGAGAGGATCCAAAAGCTCGGTTTGAACAACCACTGTGTAGAGAGGATCCAAAAACTAAGTCCTAACACACCGTGAAGAAAGCACAGATGAAGGAAGAATTTGGTCCCTCAGCCCCTCAGATGGCTCCTATGAATGTTTCTAAGACAGGGAGGTAGGGAAGAGAGAGCTGTGACTGAGACGCCTGCCTGCCTTCAATCTGAATGGAACATAGTAACACTGACAAAGAATTTCAATTTCCTTACCGACTGCGACTCATTTTATAGTGCACTCTCTTTTCATGTTACTTTTATTCTACAGTTAGAGTACAGTAACATTGAAAGGGTCTTTGCTGAGATGGAAGGATAGATGATTTCTTTGTAAAGACAGTAGACTTTACAAGAGGGGACTCTGTGATTAAAATGATCTTTTTCTTGAAAAAAAAATCCCTTCTTGCTGGGAAGTGGTGGCACACATCTTTAATCCTAGAACTTGGGAGGCAGAGGCAGGTGGGTCTCTCTGAGTTCTAGGCCAATATGGTCTACAGGTGAGTTCCAGGACAGAGAAACACTGTTTCGAAAAACAACAGCAGCAACAAAATCCTTTCTCTGAAACAGATCTTTCCAGAATTCTTAACATACTGAAACACACTATGTGGCACTGAATACATGACACAACTCAAAAGTATTCCCACACTGGCTTCACTGTGGGGAGGGTCACCTCACCAATTAATAGTGTGATCGTTCTAGAAAATAAGGTGTTGGGCTAGCGTTCACAGGCAATGGTTGAAACAGTCATTATCTAAATTACACATCGTGTTTTATGCTAACATTTCAGTTTTCATTCCTGTGATACAGCTTTGAAACCACACAGTGCCTGTAGCTTCTCTGTGTCCTGCATGGCATGTGGTCTGCTGAATACTGTTTTCACCCTACAAACAGCTGCCGATCAAGCGCTGTCAGCTCAAAATTTATGAGAGAACCTTTTGGATTTCATGCTATTTTTTCTCTAGCCATTGTCTGTATTAGACAGCTAATTATAAAACTCACCTCCCCTCCATTAACAAAATCCAGAACAAAATAAAGCTTTTCAGTTGTTTGGAAAGAATAGTGCAATCCAACCAAAAACGGATGTTTCACATTTTTCAAGAGCACATTGCGTTCAGCCATAATATGTTTTTGCTGGAAAAAAGGCAAAATATCAAGTTGTATTATATACCAGAAAACAACTGCTAATAAAGAAAATTGGCTCGGGGGAAACAAGAGTTATTTTATTTTCACCTCTTTTCGGTTGAGAACTATTTTTTTCTGTAACACCTTGACAGCATAAAACTTTCCATCCAGTTTCCGTTTTGCAAGAAGAACCTGTTAACGATATGCAAACAATTGGAGAGTTTACAATCTTTGTATGTATCCCCTTGTTAACACACACTGCTTCTTAAAGTTTCTAAAAAGCAAGTCCACAAGCACCTATATTTTGAAGACTGAACACTGCGGAGTTTACTTCTGTAATTCTACTTTTTCTTAGACATTTTAATAAGACAAAAAGGGTACTGATTACTTGAATAGCTAGAAATAATGTTACCTAATAAATTGGCAATGAGATGCACATTACTCTGTATTGTGTCAACCTTGAGCCTTGGAGAGCTTGCTTAGAAAGTACTGAAGTAGGGCTGTCGAGATTGCTCAGTGGGTAAAGGTGATTACTCCTGGCCTGATGTAAGTTTGATTCCTAGGATCCACGAGGTTAGAAAGAACCGACTCCCACAGTCGCTTTTTTGCTTTATGCATTCACACCGATACACACAAGTAAATAAACAAACAAAATACTGAAGCTATAAGCTTCATGGCTATATAAAGAGGGGGGAGAAAATGATTTTTTTCGTTAACAAAACAGTTATTTTAAAGCAGGTTTCTCTTAAACATGCTTTGAATTTACAGGAGTTCTTGGAAAGGCAACACAGACTGTTGTGTTTTTATAATGGACTGGTTTGTGTGTATACATTAGAAAACAGAGGATGTTGTATCAGAAAAGGGAGACATACTTAAGGTCATGCTACATATAACATTTGGCCAATGACTGACATGCATATGATGGTATAGGTTGTAATGTCTAAGTCTGTGTGAGTACACTTTGAGATGTCCTGTCCCAAAGTGATAAAACTGCTTAGAATGCATTTATTTAAACGCATTTTACCGTAACTGTAAGGTATTTGAGACCATCATAAATTAAGTTTTATAATTAATTACTAAATGACATGTCCCAAGGCATTCTGGGATGATTTAATATATCAACTAGTGGTGTGGCTTACTTCTAGAACCCCCATTTGTCTTCTGGTCCAAATTTACAATCTCAGTCCACACATGAGAAAACTATCAGAGCAGTCCATCAGAGGGGCTTCCTACAACACACATGATCACTAGACCTCAAAACTGTCAAGGTCATCAAAAGCAAGGGAAGTCTAGCAACTGTAACAGCCAAGAAGACCCCAAGCAGACATGAAACCCAAGTGGTAGGTTGATGGGAAAAGAGAAGGTAAGAGCTACAAAATCTGAGTAAAAGATGCACACGTGTTAATATCAACACCAGCAATGGTCTGTTGTGACACATGTACCATATTAACACAAGGTGTGTGAGAGAGCATGCATCGCAAGCTCTCCCCAAAATAAGTCGATTGATTTTAAAATGTTTGGAATTCATAAAGATGGAATCAAAACACCTTTAGAATGCAATGTCCTCTGCCCAACTTCATTTTTGTCATTTCTCATTTTTATATTCTCTATAGCACAGAGGGTGCTGATTTCCCTCAACAATGTTTTCTTTAGTATACTGGCAAACTCGACAACAGATGAAAAACTAAGAAGCAAATCAGTAAATGGAAACTGAACCAAAACCAAACACTTGAGAGAGTTGACTGCTTTACTCACACATTTTACTATGTTTCAAACAGGCCATGCCCTTGCATTCATGTTTGCCCTGCTTTCTTGTTATATGTTAGATTTTTATTTTATTGAAACTTGTGGGTTTATATGACTTACAAAATTTGAAATTATCATTAAACACAGCTAGCAGCATATACTAACACAAATCTAAGATTTTATGAAGTGAACTATATACAGTATGTAGGTCAAATAAAACATGATTAATCTCCTGAAGCCCCTCTTGCCCCATTACAGATCTGACTTTACCCAACTCACCTTCAAAGGTGACTACACTACTGCCCACTTTTAAAATTATGCAATTAAAATTATACAGATAAGATGGGTGTTGGTGACCCACGCCTTTGATTCCAGCACTGGTGAGGCAGAGGCAGGCTGGACTATGGAGTGAGTTCCAGGACAAACTCCAAAACAATACAGACAAACCCTGTCTTGAAAAACCAAAACCAAACCAAAACAGATAAAAGTCTCTTTTCACTTTAAATTATGTAATATTTATGTTATAGCACATGGAATTGATTTCATGCTCTATGCTATCACACAGAACATTACATTATAATGTATATGCTCTCTTGATAATGAAGTTTTTGTGCACGCCTGTATATGCCTTCCCTGGTGCATATATGTTCCTGTTCAGTGTGTCACAGGTCATAAATACACTGATCACCAATGATTAACAACAGTTTTCAGTCCAAAAAGAAACACCAACGAACAAATTTAAATAAACCAGGTGTAAAATTATATATAGGATACTATAAAATGTTGAGACAGATTTTTAAATGTTTATTTATTGAAAAGGTTATACCAGGTCCATAGATTATGACAGCTAATTCTCCCCCACCTAAATTTATCTCAGGTTTAATGTAATCCAAATTAGATTCCATCTAAATTTTGTAGTAATAAAAATGATTTTAAAATTTATTCAGATATGGAAAGGGCTAAGAATATCTTCCTGAAGAAGAGATTGACTTATGTGGACTCTCAGGCTATAGTTGTCAAGACAATACAACACTGGTAGCAGGATAAACAAGCAGACCAATGGAAGAGAAAATAAAGTCTAGAAACAGAACTACAAACTGTAACATCTAAAACCAGATTTGTTCATATGGGAATGCAAGCTACATTCTGAGGGTGGTCTTGCAATAAACTGCAATATCAGCCACATATCCACACAGAAAAAGATGAATAGTTATAGTTGTCTTACATTTCATATTACACACAAAAGCCAATTCTTGTGGATTCTAGGCATAAGCAGAGTTCCAAACAACAACAAAAACCTAAGTAGTTTTATTTCTGCTGTTTCTGAGATGACATCATGCTATGTTGTCCAAGCTGGATTTGAACTCACAGTCCTCCCACCTAATCCAGCGAATGGTTTGTTGTTGTTTTGGGGAGAGAGGGAAGATGGGATGGGGGTGGGGGGGCCGAGGAGAGAGGGACAGAGAGGGACAGAGAGAGAGAGAGAGAGAGAGAGAGAGAGAGAGAGAGAGAGAGAGAGAGAGAGAGAGAGAGAGAGAGAGCGCGAGAGACTGCTCTGTCCAGGGTTGATTGGCACTAACTCCTTGACTTCTGTCAGTATTTGTGTTTTTAACAGCAGACCACCTGTAACATTTTGATATACTGTTAACTACCTAGAGCAGAGATCCATTTCTAACTCTGCTGCTTACATGAGCATAATGCCCAGCCTGTAACACTATGATCACTATGTATCTGATGAATAAGCAAACACAAATAATAGTGTGCTCAGTTTATGCTTTCTCAGCAACTCAGACCCCAAAAACTACAAATATAAGGAAATATAATTAAATACAGATTTTAAAATTGCAAAAGAGAATAAATATATTTGGTCATTCATATAAATTCTCCTATGACACTTTTCCTGCAACCTGAGCTTCTGAGCATGGCTGGACACTGTCAAGTTCTGTGATGGGCCTGACACCCTGGGGTTAAAGCAGGGTCTTCACACAGGTTTTCCTACCTCTATGATTTGCAGGAATGCTTACTTTGGTCTTTCTACCCTCCGTTTAAAAAAGTTATCTTCAAAAAGGCTATTCTTGACAACCCAGCTGCCTGCTGCTCCATCACGTCACCCTATTCATTTCAGCACGGCCCCATTACTATGTACGGTTACCTGAGTGTATCTCTTAACAGACTATAACCCCGAAGGTTGCCAGCACCACTAATCAGTTTTCTCAACAGAGCCCTAACACGTATTTGGGACACACTAAGTTCTCAATAAATGCATACTGAACAAATGCACTTCATCTTAGAATTTCGGCACACACCTTGTTTCCTTGAGAATTCTGTCAAGACTTGGCAGAGAAGGAATATTAGCTCCCTATCTTGCAAACAAAAAAAGCCCAATGACTCACACATGTAAATCAGAAACTCATTAAGTGATTAATCACGGAATAGGAACATTAAAAATAAAACCCCTTACCTTGCCAAAGCTGCCCTTTCCAATAACTTTTAAAAAATCAAAGTCAGTTGGTTTAGCACTGAAAGAAATTAACAATGGCAAAAATGAGTCTTCTAGAAATTAAGATATAAGCATTTAAACATTTCTTGTACCTCATTAAGTTAACAAATTAATGTGGGGGACAAAATCCATGGGGAGGATTTCCTGAGCTTTTATACTAGTACATTGCTTTTGTTAAGAGCAATAGAATCTCCTTCCCAACTAAATTATATAAGCACACTTAAGATTTAAGAGATACTTACATACTATTCTTAGAGAAAAAAATGGAGACAAGCCTTTATATGCATTATAGTATATAGATACAGATATATCTCACAAAGTAGTTTCTTTCTAAGACAGTTGTATTCATCACAAACCTAACCACTGTCACTTGTGAAGAAACTTAACCATGTACGTTCAAGTAGTATTTGGTACTGGCTAATTCTGAAAACAAGGTACTAGTTGCCAGCTCCTAGTAAAGATGCCAAGGAAGCTTTCCGGTAGAGAGAAGTCTCCAGAGCTTCACATCTAAGTCCCTTATTATAGGAAAGAGTTCTCTGGATTGTTTTCACCAATGGCAATGAAGAGAAGCCAGGAACAAAACACCAGAGAGAACATTGCCTTTTTATTTATTTTAGCCTAGCAGATAAAACAGCACTGGCTCTATGGAGGCAAATGCACCTGGTAGCAGGCAGGATGTGGAACTTAAGTAGCTAGGAGTGTGTCTTCCCAAACAGGCTGAACTCTTTTTTTTTTTTTTTTGGTTTTAAGAGACAAGGTTTCTCTGTATTGTTTTGGAGGCTGTTGGACCAGCCCGGCCTCAAACTCACAGAGATCTGCCTGCCTCTGCCTCCCGAGTGCTGGGATTAAAGGCGTGTGCCACCACTGCCCGGCTGAGGCTGAACTCTTAAGCTATACTAGATGGATCACTCTGTTTACTGGAAATAACAATTAATTAACAAAACCAACCAACGAACAAAACAAACCCAACAACAATAAAACAAACCAGGCCAATCTGATTAACTCAGCGGGTCCAGGTGCTTGCCACCAAGCCTGATAACTTGAACTTGCACATGGTGTAAGCAAAGCACTGACTCCTCCAGGCTGTCCTTAGACCTGCACACAACGCCACAGCATGTACACACCCACACACAGTCAGAAGATAAATGAAACAGAACAGGGCTCAAAGCCTGTTCATACACATTATCTAAAGGTAGGGGAACAGTGAACAAAAGATCAGAAGAAATGACAAAGTCTTTCGTATGTTGAGCCAAGGTTTAGCAATATGTACATAAACACATACAAATGACATAAAATCAGAAGGAGGACCCTTTGGCAGAGAGGAAGAGAACCAATAAAGAGATGAAGGAAGTAGGTGTGTTATGTTGGGGGGACAAGTATGAACAGAGCACAATGCTACATACATCAAAAATGTCCCAAGATGCCGGGCGTTGGTGGCGCACGCCTTTAATCCCAGCACTGGGGAGGCAGAGGCAGGCGGATCTCTGTGAGTTTGAGGCCAGCCTGGTCTACAGTGCTAGATCCAGGATAGCATCCAGAAAAATACAGAGAAACCAAAAAAAAAAAAAAAAGTCCCAAGAACCCATTATTTTATATGTTAACTAAAAACGAAATAAGGATACATTAAAATACTTAAATACAGGTGTTTCTTGGCAATACCCTGTTCTTTGGACTATAACATTTTAAACAAAAGGAAAGGGTTGAGCAGGACCCCTAACTGCTGTGGTGAATCCTAACTGAAAGCACATGTTCGTTGAAACAGTGCCACCCTGCTCAACACTAGGAATGGTGGGAAAAAATGCTCAAACTCAACTTCCTCTTCCAGTCACGAGCCCAGCCTCCTGCAGTACTCTGCATGGGGACTTGCACAGTGAGCAGCTGAAAGTGTCCATCTTGATGACTTTTTCAGGCTCTTGGGAACTCTCTCCTATTCAGTTATCCTGACCAGCTCATTAAGTTCACCAATGACTGATCAAATCCAATGGCCAGTTTCCAATCTATCTTATTTGCGCCATTGGCCACATTGGCAGTGTTAAAACACCGCCCCCTTGACACATTTTTCTTCCCTTGACTTCAAGACCCCATATTCTTCGTCTGCCCACCTCAGTCTCCACTGACAGTCTTCCCTCATTCCATGATGCTCAAAGGTCTTTGGCCCCTATGCTTGGATCATTTCTCCTGTCTACATTCTCTTTCCTCAAATTGTTTGGGGTAGTCTTCAGTACTCTATACCATATGATCTAGACATTCATTTTTTAAGGAATTGTGGGAGGTGACAAGGGAAATAAAGCCTATGTTAGACAACCTTGTTCTCTATCAACATTTACCTTACTATTCTCCAAAATGTTTCCCTAAACGCTCAAATGATAAGCACATGTTGAGGAACTAGAAAAACAAAGTCTAACACCTTTAACATCCTAATATCCATCATGACCCCTCTGGAACAAGCTAGCCGACAACCAGGGCACAACCCTGAGAGGAGCATCACTCAGATCTGTGAGGACACTTTTCCTTCTCCCCCTCCCCACCATGACACCCAGTAGGACCCACAGTCCCACAAACAACTGTCAGCTGATCTTCCCTACACAAAAATAAAGTGAAAGAAGTAACAATGGCAAAACAGACCCCAACCATCTACCTGCAGCTTTTAAAAACAGCCATTTTTAAGATGGCTCAATGGGTAAAGGTGCTTGCCGACAAACCTGACAATGTGGGTTCTTATACCCAGAACCCATATGGTAGGAGGAAGAGAATCAACTCCCAGATTTCCATCTACCCCATCCATGTTCCATGTCATGTAAGTCACACACACACACACACAGAGTTTAAGACAGAGCACTGAAGCACATGACAGCACTGTATTCACGGTATCTATTGACACACTCTACAGGCCTCCAGTTAGATTCACATAAATGCACACTCTCAAAAAAGCACTTGTTAAAAGTGGAAATAAAGTGAACCTACTGAGGATTTCCAGTTGGTCCCAGGTTGATGTTCTGTGAGGTAGAATGTGGCTATTTAGTGAGGGAAAAACAATATTCTCATTAGTGTCAATCATGATCAGCTATTGGATGCTTTGACATAAATGACATAACTACCACAGACAGCAATAGATGCTAAAGAAGTCTAAAGTCCTAATTCTTGAAATATAATCAATATAAGCTGTCAATTTTGTTATAACTTTTAGGAGCTGTTGCAAGGAAAAAAAACAAGCCAGAACGACACTTAGGAGTTAGAAAGTGGAAGTCAACAGACAAAGCTGCTTCGGAGACAAAGCACTGAAAACACACTTTACTATGAGGAATCATTTTTCATATTTAAATACTGGCTACTATGGCTGATTGTTTTTCAAATATTAAAGAAAAACTTAAAAGCCAGGATGATGGTAATGGTGACTATGAATACAGGTATTCTTGAGTGATGGGTGGAGGCCAGAGACTGACTGCACCTTCCTCTGTTACTCTCCACCTTATTTTTTAAGGGCAGTCACTCTCTGAGCCTGGAGCATTTCAGTCAGAACAGCTGGGCCATGAGCACTGGGATCTGTCTCCACCCTGGGTACTGGAACTACGCTGCCATAACTCAGCTCTCCTCTGGGTACCAGGGATCCAAACTCAGGTAAACCCATTGGCAAGTTGATTTTTCTCTCAGCCCCTGAAAAGTCCTAAATACAACAGGACTTTCTCTGATCCTAGAAGTAAATAGCTCCAAAATTGTAGACCCAGTAAATTAAAAACCAGGATCAACTCAGCAATGAATCCTTTCTTAACTGCTATACCACAAAGCAGTTTAACTCCACTGGGTGTTGGTGGTGTATGCCTTTAAATGCCAGCACTTGGGAGGCAGAGGCAGGCGGATCTCTGAGTTTAAGGCCAGTCTTCAGAGTGAGTTCCAGGACAACCTCCAAAGTAATACAGAGAAACTCTGTCTCGAAAAGACCAAAAAAAAAAAAAAAAAAAAAAAAACCACGCAGTTTAACTCCAACAGATCCTAGTTCAGACATAGCTTGAACTCAGCTCACAATTCTACAAGTTGGGAGGAATCTGTTTTCTCTCGAGGTATAAGAATCATAGCAGGACCTCTGACACACACTCTCCCTTTTCCCTCTGAGCCTCAAACCCATCCCATAGTAGGCACTTTCAAAAAAGCCAAGTTGTGAGTGAAATTTGCTTCCCATAAATCCACTTGGAAATTCTTTATATATTCAGGAAGTTAAATGATCTGTACGTGTGTTTAGTACACACATTTACAAGAATGTCCCATGTAAATGTGTATTTTTACTGAAATAGATTTCAGACTTATAATCTCTAGGAGACATAGTACTTTATAAAAAATCAATGACATTCTCATCCTTCAAAAGTTCTGAAGTAGGTCTGTTATTTAAAAAATACTAAAGCTAACTTTAAAGTCACAACCCTAACTTATTTTCTATCTAACACCTCAATATGAAAAACTTTTACACAATAAATTTTCAATTCTCAGAGGAGAGAAATACATGAATCATAACAGTGTAACTCAAGGCTAATCAATTCATAAATAACCTGGTTCATGGGATGAGATTTGCTGTGGTTTAATTTAACATGAGATTAAACTCTTAGGATTAAATAATATATTGTTTTACAGAATCTGATAACTCTACTTCTTTAAAAGGATTTTTCTTAGATAGCTGTAAAAAGACAAAATGGACAATTTATTCCCTGATTCACAGTAATGTGTAGCTAATATTTAATACTGGTAATGATTTTCCTAAAGGAGCATGTCTCTGAAACGGTGACAATTAGTCAAACGTAAATTAGACTGTATTTCACTGTAACTAATGTTAAGATGATATCCAATCATTGCACTGATTGAAAGGTAAAATTCATTGGCAACTAATTGAGATTCTGTTTCTTGATTTCCTCTGACTTACATCTTTCTCCTTAAATGAAGGGGGTGAAGGGCACTTGAGAGAAGGCTCAGTGGTTAAGAGCACCAGCTGCTCTTCCAGAGGACCTGGGTCTATTTCCCAGCACCCACATGGCGGCTCACAACCATCTCTAACTTTAGTTCCAGGGGACCTGACACCCTGTTTTAGACTCTGGAGGCACCACAGACACAATGCAGGCAAAACACCCATGTGAATAAAAAATAAAAATAATCTTTACAATGAATAAACAAAACAAAATAAGGGGCCTTAGGGCTGGGGAGATGGCTCAGTAAGCAAAGATGCTTGCTGCCAAACCTGGCAACCGGAGACTGATCCCCAGGACCCATGGGGCAGGAGGGAATCCTCTTCCTAAAGTTGTACTTGCCATGGCATATACCCCACCCCAAACTTCCTTGAAGTCACCTTTCCTGAAAATAAACTTAAGGGGTTTAGTTCTAGACACCTACAAGGACTCTTCTAGCTCTGAACTTCATCTGGTTGGTGAAGGCTGGTGAGAGCACTAAGCAGGGCAGGTAAAGGCGCTTGCCGCCAAACCTGAAGAACTGAGTTTGATTCCCCTGAGACCCATTTGGTGGAAGGAGACAATCAGCTCCCACACTCTGACCTCCACACTTACTCTACTTACTCTCAATACTAAGAGTAACCTGCATTACACTTTCTACTATGAAAATACAATTTCTATGTATTTGTAAGAGACAGTGATTGGGGGCTGGGGAGACTGCTCAGTAGTTAGAGCACCTGCCACGCAAGCAAGAGGACCAGAGTTTGGATCCACAGAACCCACATAAAATGTCAGGTGGGCAAGGTGGCTCGCCCGTAATTCCAGCCTCGACGGTGAAGAGGGGGATCCCCACAGCAAGCTGCCAGCAAGACAGCAAGATCAGCCACATTGGTGAGGGTTAGGTCAGACCCTGCTTCACAGAGGAAAATGCTAAGAGTACTATAGAAGATTCCCAGTATCGACCTTGGGCCTCCACACATGTGTGTCTCCACACGAGTCTACACATACAATAGCACACACATACACGTGGAAAGAAAAAAGGCAAGAATAGTCACTAAATGGTACAACACTGCTTCTAGGTGTTCTGCAATGTAGAAAGCCTAGCACAGATATGGACACTTTGTTCTGAATCAGCGCAGGTCTAAGGTAAAGCTGCTTCCCTGCGGTTGCTACCCTGCTAAGAAGCACAGCAGCCCTGCTACCTTCGGAGCGCTTCTTTCATCCTCGTCTTCAGATGGATCTGACTGATGTCTGGGGCTGTCCATCTGAAGGAATGCTCTGACATCTGCACTGAAAACAAAGGTTACTGGATTACTCTGACAGCATGTGTGCAGCCCAACTCCCTTTAAAAAGGAGATGAAACAGAAACCACCATATTAGCATTTGTAGCAGGAAAACTACAAAATGTATTATTCGTCATTATAACAGGAGTAAAGAAGTTCTGCTTTTAAAAGGGGGGAACGCAACAGGGGAGCGGGTGAAGATACGGATGGTTCACGGGAAGAGGTGATCCAAACTGAAACCGATTCTGAGATGCACTTCACAGGCATTAGCTAGCAAAATCAGAACGACAGAATGAACTCAAAGTGTAAAGGGCCACGCTCACGCTGCTGGTGAGACGGAGAATGAGGCAATCTTCCCGAAGAGCAGTTTGGCAAAACTTGGGAGAAACAAAGCTATTTGCGACAGGGTCTAATACAGCCCCTCTTATGCTGTCTCCGTCTTGCACACATGAAGTCGCATGCATGCATCCCCATGGGTAATACAGCATTTCAAAGTGCGCTCCCCAACGGCAGCAATAAGCACACAGTATGGGGCCCACGCGACACTGCTATTTGGCATCTTACTCTTTCATACACTGTATTTTAAGATAATATTAAAATGAAAATGAAGTTTTTTTTTCCAACAAAAGATGAGATCTAGAAAATACAAAGTGACTTATTTTTTGACAAAGAAAACGTCAGCTAAAAATTAAGCTTAATCTTGGTTTTTCTGTTCATGGGATTTTGGAAATTTCTTCTATCTTGAACAGGAGACAGTTACTTATAAAGTGCATGCGTAGATGAAAAAATTTGTTGTCACAAGTGATCAAAATGAAGAGACTAAATGCCAGGGACTGCTGAGCTGCGAATGGGATGTTGCATTATCACCCTGCCTCCGGCAAAGCGGGAGGAGACGGGATCAGAGTGAACCTGCCTAGGCTTCTGGAACATGTGGATGACACTCATATAGCTTAATCCTAATGACATAGCAGATAATGAGGATAAAGATAGTATTAAACAATTAGCAAGATGTCTTAACTACATAACGCAAATTTATTTATGTCTTGGTTGGTATTTTCGTCAACTTGAAACAAACCAGACTCCCCTGTGAAGAGGAATTCTCCATTAAGAAAGTGCCTTCACAGTGTCTGCCTGGAGGCAAGTCTGCAGGTCTTTTCTTCATTAATGATTAATGTGGGTGGGCCCAGCTCACTGGGGTGGTGCTTCCTGGACAATATTCCTGGGCATATAAGACAGCAGGCTGTGTAAGCCTTGAGGAGTAAGCCAGTCATCAGTGTTCCTTCATGACCTCTGCTTCAGTTCCTTCCCTGGCTTCCCTCAGTGACAGAGTGTGACCTGAGCGGTGTAAGATGGAATAAACCCTTTCCTCCTTGACTTGTTTCATATCACAGGATGTGTCTGTCACAGCAATAAAAACCCAGCTGAGACATTATACAAGTGCAAAAGGAAGTATAAGCTGAAGGGCAAGCGGGTAAAAAGCACTACGAGAAAGTCCTCTAGGAAAAGTTCGCACGCAGTAACATTCCATAGAAAGCACAGATTCTTCCTGAGGTTTAATCAAGACTCTTGGGTTGGCTTCACTGTCCCTTTAGAAAAAGGCGAAAGTACTTACTGGTTGTAAAGCTCTGGATACCTGACCAAGTTCTGAATGAATTCATTCAGCCCCGCTTTTCTTTGTTTAATAAAATCTGGAAGAGATGCACACCGGCAGTCACATTTCTGTCAGTCTATGGATTTAATCACGAAACACTTATGGAAGAACACACAAGCTCAAAGCGGCAAACTGTGGGTGAGAAGGCAGTCCTTAATTGGCATTTGCTATTGAGGGGGGAATAAATGCTTAAACACTGAAGACCCGCACACGCAACCTGAACTGAGATGGGGGCTTTGTAGAAGCTTCAGGAAATGGCCAGGGAGCATGACACTAGAAGTTGCCTAGTATTGGAGAACCATCTGTTATGTATCCTCAGCATATCGTATAGACATCATCTTAGCAGAGAGGCAGATTGTATACCATAGGCCTCATGGACAAAACAGGGGCAGCAGCAGTGCATGCCTGAGGCTGAGGCAGGAGGATCACCAGTCTGGGCTACATAGCAAGATTCGTCTCAAAACAAACAAGCAAGCAAGCAAACAAACAAACAAACAAAAAAAAAAAACAAGAAAGTTCTGAACGATTATAGTCTCCAATGAACCCATGACCTAAGTCTCCAAACTTCACCCAGAGCTCAGCAGTCAGCCCATGAAGCTTTTGCTTACCCGGGTCAAAATTATCACCGAATATTCTCTTGGCAGGGATCTTCAGAGCCATCGCAGGAAACTGTTTCTTCAACTGAATATAAAAACAGCATTCCGTGAGCTGATTTCTAAATCTATTTATGCCTGCACAACACATTTGATCTTAAGGAAAATTTATAAGGTATATTTTAAGTATGACATGACATACAATACAAAATGCCACAGACTGACTAATCATCCTACTTTGTCCCATAAATTTAGTATGCATGTAACCTTGAACAGGTTACTTAACATTTCTGTGCCAGGGTTTGTTTCCGTGTCTGTAAAATGGGGATAGGCTAATCAAGCATCTTGATGTGCAGGAAAGAAGGTAAATTAGTTTAGTTAAGCACTTAGACTGGAAATGGTGGTATCTAGGCTCTGCAGGTGCTACTCACCTTTTACCTCAAGAAATACGCTCTCTGTGGTCTACAGCAACTACATTTCAGAGAAAGTGAATTCATTTTGCTTTCAACACTCTAACTCTAGCTTCCTCGTTTTTTAGTATCTAATGTATTTGTTTACCAGATTTGTTTGAGGGAAGTTTGACTTTTATTGGAGGGTCATTTGCTATCCTGAACATTTATTGCACATAGAAAGAAATTAAACAAGGGGCAGTCAGAAAAAATCCACACATATACAAAAATCTCACTGGACAACTAACAGGAAATACAAAGAATAAAAGAATGTATTAACCATTGCAAGCTACAGTCAGCAAATCCCAGACTAAAGGGGGGAAAAACAAACACACAAATTATAAAGACACTTAGACTATCAGCTGGTCACATAAACAGACAGGACACTCAGTACCAAGGAACCACTATCCTTATCATTAGATGTAACAGTGATACTGTGTTTTTAGCAATTTTTATCTTTTAGATAAAATCATACTAAAATATTTACAAATTAAATGGCATGTCAGGACTCACAACACAAAGCAAACAGTCTTGTAGCAGTAATTGAAGACAGTGACAGTACTTTATTATTTTCTTTTTGTTGTAGTTTTTGATTTTTTGAGACAGCCCTGGCTGGCCTGGATCTTTTATTGAAGACCAGGCTGGCCTGGAACTCACAGACATACACCTGCCTCTGCCTCCCAAGTACTGGGATCAAAGGCATGTGCCACCACCACCTGGCAATACTTTATTATTTTATTGTTTATATTAATACAATTACTATTGCCTGCTAGACAATTTGTATTAATACAAATTAAAAAAATGCAAACCAGGTCCATAAAAACATATTTAAGCTGGCAATAAAATATTCACAAATGAAAAATTTTATTTTTGTCTCATCTTTTATTGTAAACAAAGGCAAGGAATTTGTGTTTTCAAACTCAGGGAACTGAGGCTCAGCCTGGCTCCTATAGTTTTTAATAAAACAGATATTTTTGTGTTGACAAGAGGCAGAATTTGAAACATTTATAGAAAAGACATTTATAAGAAAGAAAAACTATTAAATAAAAAATATGAAGAAGATGAGAGAAATTGTGGAGAGATGGGTGTCTGGGGCTATAAAGAGAAACAACTGTTCAATTCTTACCCAGCTCCCCAAATAAATACTTTTTTAAAAACTACTAGAAAAATTGAAAGGCTAATTCCACAGAATTTTCTAGAGCTGCCTAGTAGTTTACTCTTCGTACGTATAATGAATACAAGAGAACTAAGAACTTAACACTTGGATTTGGAGGTACAATTGGTTTTTGTTTATTTGCTTGTTTCCTTAACTGAAACAAAGGTTGGGACTCAGCGATGTTCTAATCCAGGCTTCTGCAGCGACTGAATCGAGAGACATGGTTTGAGCACCTGAAGACTTTTTTTTTGGTTTTACGAGACAGGGTTTCTCTGTTTTGGAGGCTGTCGGTCCAGCCTGGCCCCGAACTCACAGAGATCCACCTGCCTCTGCCTCCCGAGTGCTGGGATTAAAGGCGTGCGCCACCAACGCCCGGCTTGAGCACCTGAAGACTTTTAAGACAGTGCCTTCCACCAGAGTCAGTGCCTGGCAGAATCTGGCCCGATGCCTTTCAATGACCTTGGTATCTCACTGCGGATGTTAAAAACTGTGTGCGACTGTAGGTACTAGATTGTGAACCATTTAATAGCAGGATTACGAATAAAAATGGCTTCAGTTACTTAGACAGCTAACTGTCTCTTAGATTTCGAACTGCAGTGGACCATTGGAAAGACAATGCTCATTTCAACGTGTTATTACTTGAAACCCAGAACTGACACTTCTAAGAATGACACGGAGGAGGAGTGTGTAGCTGACACTTTGAGATCTAAGGCTTGGAGCTGAAGACCTGAACCAGAACTGCCTTGATGAATACAGTTTTTACTTGGCACAGGTATTTGTGCCTAATGTCGTTGTTCCCTGAAATGTCCTTAGCTCTTCATCTTATCTCACTGTTCCCGAGGAACTATCTTTCCACGTTTCAAAGAAAGACTATACATTAAGGTGCCTTTGAAGAGTCCCTTTCCCTTTTTTGCTACGTAATGTCCATTGATTTACTCATTCAAATGAATTTCTCAGCTCATAGGATTTTTCTCAAGTATTTAGCTTTAAATAGAAATATAGTTCCCCACGCAGTGGTGGCGCAAGCCTTTAATGCTAGCACCCGAGAGGCAGAGACAGGTGATCTCTGTGAGTTTGAGGCCAGTCTGGTCCACAGAGTGAGTTCCAGGACAGCCAAGGCTATTATATAGAGACATGCTATCTCAAAAAAATAAAGAAAGAAGGAAGGAAGGAATGATATGGTCTCTTACAGTATTGTAAAGTTTGTCAAACTCTGCATATCTCCTGAAGACAAACCACTCGCTTCTGCCCACAGAGACTAGAACTTTATAAACCTGTGGAAATACAAAAATTATACAATTTAACAACTGTCTTCATATTGTAAAAACTGTCTTCATATTCATGAAACTGGTAACTGTTTACATGAAACACACCAAGCGAAGTCTACATTTCATCTTGTCAGTTTTTGTTGTCATTCTAGCAACGTTAAGTATTCTTTACTTTCAGATAATTTAACACCCACCTGTTAAACTTTATGTAAATGCCTCTTCTGTAACAAGCTTTAAACACACACACACACACACACACACACACACACACACTCTAATAAAACTATAACCCTGATTAGCTCATCACAAGGAACTCAAGAAAGGAGCATTTGACTATGTAGTCATTAAAATACAGCAAAATACAGTATTTTATTCACACCAGTAAAATACAGCACTAAACTGTCATGAACTTTCTATTAGTTTCAGTGAATAGCCATGAGTGTGTGTGCGTGCACTCAGTATCAGAGCTACTGAGTTCGAACACTTTACCATTCTTGCCTCACATTTTCTTTTCTAAGAATAAAAAATTACAGAACTAACTGATGCCATTTTTTTTATCGGTTGACTAGGGCCTTGAAATTACAAAGTACTTTCAAAAGCAATGCCTGGCCACAGTAAACACTCATCTCCTACTTTCCTTCCAGATCATCTTTTACACAGTATTTTTCAAATACAAATGATATCCTTACATTTTCCTTACAAATGTGTCTAGTATCTTTACATACAGCCTCATTTAATCACAAGCAACAATCCTATGAAGCAAGCAGAATTATAATCCCTAGTGAGAAAATGCCAGTCAACTGTTGATTTGCTTAATCAAAACACTGTAAAACTTTGACTAAAATCTGTATCATTTCCTCTCCCCTATATATTATAACTAGCATTAAATAACCAGCAGGTACAGAATTAACTTTCATAATTCCGCCCAAAGATAGCCTCAGAATACAACTCCACGTTCTGTAATAATTTATGAGGACAGAGTCTCTGGAGCAAAACACACGCACACACACACACACACACTTAAATAAGTTTAACAACAACAAAAATGTGACCTGGGCAAAACCAAAAGAAACTTTCAAATTAAAGGACTATTTTGTAAGATTCTTAGTATTTTGCATTTTATGTGTGGAGTGCCGACACACATCACCATGTGCAGTACCCTTGGAGGCCACAAAAGGGCACTGGATCTCCAGAACCGCAGCTGAAGATGGCTGTGAGCCACCATGTTGGTGCTGGAAGCTGAACCCAGCAGGCAGTGCTCTTAACCTCTGAGCTATCTCTCTGGCCAGGAAACTCTTATTAAACTAACAGTATCTCTATTTTAGGGTCTGGTGAAACAATGCTGAGGGGAGTCCTTCCTCAAGTGACCTTGCATTTTAGCAGGCAAGGTATCCATAAAGACAAAGTATACTAAGTAGTGAAAATGGCTATCTAAACATTAAGTAAGACAAGTAGGACAGAAAATGAAAGGGGTAGGGTGAAGTGCTGTTTTGTATTTTAAGTGGTTACATACACACAAAGCCTCCGATCAGGAAATATTTGGGCATCTGAAAGAAGTAAATAAACAACATGACTCTCACAGGGACTCTGGAAAACCAGAGCACAGCACAGAAATACCAGGTCCTGGCTGAGGCCTCCTGACTCTCACAGTGTGGAAATATCTCTCCTTGAAAAGAACAAAGGACACCTAACTTAATCTACTGTCCACACTGAAGGAATGTCTGCCAAACTTGATGGGAGGCAAGTCCCCGAAGAACACAATAGTCCAAAGGTAAGAACAAAGAGAAAAGGAAGGAAGATATCACATACACTCGATATTTTATCCAAGACATGATAGTCCTTGAGAGAGAGAGATACCCTTTGGGATTACCTCTGCAGCTTAGTAAGGCAGATATAGTACTCAGAGTATTTAGTTTAACATTTTAGCTCTTCTCAACTTCCATGTGACATGGATTTGAGCTAAAAGTCACTTGTCACAGGGTTCAAGTGGTAAGGATCCACTCATTACAGATTAGTGGTGCTCCAAAAGGGAGTCTGATGAGCAATACTGAGAACAAAGGCACTGAAATAGCGGGGTGTCCCTAGAAGGCCCTAGTCATACCAACAGAAGATAGTCTCATCACCCCCAGCAATGGCAGAGGCAGTCTAAATAAAACACTGGTTAGAAGTCCAGGCCGTACGTCAGTCATAGGTATTTTCTAGAATGGACAGTCAACATCTAGAACATCACAGATATACAGGGACAACAAGAAGGAAGCCACAGAGATATTTATTCAACGGACACTCTGAAAGTGGACATCCTTCCTCCAATAAACCAAAATGTAGATCCTGTAAGACTGTGTGCCTGGGCATTTTCACCTGAGTGGAATCAAGTGCTAAACAGAGATGACATCAAACAAGTTTCTTCACACCACACAGCAGCCGGGGACTTAAAAGGGAAGACCAGATCAGAGAGAGAAGGGCAGGAAATCTCTACATATCCTGCCTGGAGTACTGGGACTAAGCACAATAATGTGTCTCGCTACACTAATAGGTCATGCCTGTTCTCAGCTGGGCGCGGGGCTCAGAGGTCGAGATGACCTACTGTAGGGCTGGAGAGATGGCTCAGCATGGGAGGTCATTCTAGAAGACCCAGATTTGGTCCCAAGCACCCACACGACAGCTTATAACCATCTGTAGTTTCAGTTCTAGAGGATCCTTTTTCTGGCCTCTGAAGGCACTAAACACAAGTCAGTACACAGACATACATGCAGGCAAACTATCTATAATCTATGTATATATTACTCACACACAAAGAAAATGAAAAATAACTGAAAAGACCACTTGTGCAATCATGGAGACAGAGTTTGGATCATGAAACTATGTAGCAGGCTGTGTTCTACACACATCTGTAATCCAAGCTCCGAGGGAAGGCAGAGATAGGTTTGCTTTTGGTAATGTGGCTTTTAGTAACCAAGGAAAACACAAGCCCCAGGTTCAAGGAGAGACCCTGCCTCAAAGGAATAGGCACAGAGTGACAAAGGAAGTCACCTGAGGATACCTGGCCACTACTTCTGTGCTCTATTGGCCCATATGTGTGTACCTACTACATGAACACACACACACACACACACACACACACACACACACACACACACACACACACACGCAAATAAAGATTTTAAAGAGCTTAGTTTCCATGACCAGTCACTGGTGGCACTACAAGCACATACTCATTGCACCTATTGTTTATAAAGCCCTCCAGCAAATACTACGGCACTAAAAAACAAAATCAGAAATGTCTTCTTTAACTTTAAGGAGGAAGAGGAGGAAGAAGAGGGAAACATTTTAAAAATGTGGTGGAAAGTAACGAAACGCCCTAAGACACAATGGAAATTTCAAGTCCTTAATGTGGACTCAAGGACTTCAGGCGTCTACAACACCTGACAGTGTGTTTGAAGCTTACAGCACACAGACAGTGTCTACATACACACATCTAGCAAGAGGGTGTGTAAGTTCCATGAAGTTCTCCCAGGGAACAGGCAAACAGGCACAAATAGGCACTGAAAAAGGGCAAGCACTGTGACAGTGGCCCACGAGGACTTTGGGGACAGCTCACTCACAGAAGTAAAGCCTGGCCACGTGGACGAGGGCAGGCGGCTCACGTCCGCTGTGCTTGCTCTCTCACACCTGCTGCTCCACACTTACCGTGAACCTCTTCTTTTTCTCTCTGTGTTCATCAGAGCTGGGGATGCTTACGCTTGGGCAGCTCTCCTTGCAGTCCATGGTACAATCGCTCTGCATTTAATGTTTTGAAGGACACAGAAACTAGATCTGAAGTTTCAAAGCCCTCAGAAGAAGGCAAATGCAATGAGCTAATCCAAAATATGAAACCTCTTGATGTAATGTTCAAACTCCATTGTGGAACCTTAAACAACAGGAAAAAAAAAACACAATTAGCAAACCTAATAAAAATAACAGTATGAGGCCACAGAAATAGCTCAGCAGTCAAGACAGCTGGCTGTTCTTCATACCAGCTTGGCTCTTCAGATGACCAGGGTTCCCAGCACAAATATCAGGGGCTCACAACTTCCTGTATCTCCAGCTTCAGAGCATCTGGCCTTTGAGGACTATTACAGATGTGCACACATGCGCGTGCATGTGTGTGTGTGTGTGTGTGTGTGTATGTGTATGTTTTATCCCAGAGATGCAGGGATGGTTCAAAATGTAAATGTAGTCCATCATATAAACAAACCTGAAAGAAAAACAAAGCAATCCTCCCCACATGATCATATCATTAGATGCAGAAAAGGCCTTTGACAAAATCCACCCCCCTTCATGATAACATTTGCAGAAGATATGATAGTATACACAAGTGACCCCAAAAATTCCACCAAGGAACTCCTATGCTGATAAACACCTTTAGAAGAGTGGCAGGATACAAAATTAATTTTTAAAAAATCAGTAGTTTTTCCATGTACAATGACAGACTAAAAAAGAAATCAGGGAATCTATGCCCTTCATGATAGTCTCAAATAACAGAAAATATCTTCAGGTAACTCTAGCCAGGCAAGTAAAAGACCTGTATGACAAGAACTTCAAGTCTCTGGAGAAAGAATTTGAAGAAGATATTAGAAGGTAGAAAGATCTCCCATGTGAGTTATGTTTTTTATGACAATGAGACATGTCTACTCCTTGCAATGCCAATCTACAACAGAAGAGGATGGTAGGCACTGAAGAAACTCCATGTGGAGTTTACATTCTTTGTGGCAAAAGTAAGCCACTGGGCAAGAATGTGCCTTTGCCTTGACTGCTGGACAAGCAGGACACAAAACAGAGTGACTGCAAAACATTGCCAAGACAAGGCAGGACAGTCCTTCAAAAATCCTGCTTCATAGAAAAGTCTGTCAAATATTCTAGACAATATTCTAGAATATTCTGCCCCAATATTACGAAAGAACCCTGGGGTGACTATACAGGCATCCAGCTGTTTCTGTCATTTCTGACATTTTTTGGATGTTTCTTGCTTGTACTTCCTGCTCACTCAGTTATTATTTTCTTCTCAGGTCTCTCAGGGAGTTGAAGACTAGATATTTACAGTTACAGTTTTCCTTGTTTACCAGATTCAGACAAGAAACTTACTAAAGAGGTGTAAAATGTAACAGGTTGAGAGACACTAAAAGATAATTTGCTAATGCAAATTAGAATAGAAAGTGAATTAGGTGCAACCCTTTGAACTCACCAAGATATGATAGATACCGAGTATTTTCTCTGAATTTGTCAAATGCAAATGGGCTAGACATTGTTTATGTATTTATTGCCTGTATATATTGTATATTGTTTTTCTTATATTAGCTGTACTTTTCTAATTTTATTTTAAACAAAAAAGGGAAATGGGGTGATATTTTGTTTATGATCTAACAAATAAAGCTTGCCTGAAGAGTAGAGTGCAAAGCTAGCCATACTAGTTAGCCATGGAGGTCATGCAGTAGTGGCCATACCTCTAATCAATTGCAGCACTCAAGAGACAGAGGCAGATGGATCTCTGTGAACTCAAGGCCACCCTGGGCTACAGGGAAGTGAATCAGTCTAAAAGAGAAACAGAGCTCACACCTTTGATCTCAGCACTAGGGAGGTAGAGACAGGAGTGCTATGGCTGGGTGAACAGAAGAATATTAAGGGGAAGGAAAAAGGCACTCAAAGCTTTTCAGATGAGGTTTGGTGGAGACAGATGCGGTTGGATTCAATCTGAGGATTTGTGGAGGCAGGATCACCCTTTTAGTCTGAGGTAGAGGTAAGAGCTAGTGGCTGGCTACTTTGCTTTTCTGATCTTCAGCTTTAACTCCAATATCTGTCTCTGGGTTTTTATTATTCATGCTCCACTCCCACATCAAAATTCTAACACAATTCTCAGCTTCATATGGAAACACACACACACACACACACACACACACAAAACAGGATAGTTAAAACAATCTTGAACAATAAAAGAACTGCTGGAGGTATCACCATCCTTGATTTCAAGCTGTACTACAAACTACAGTAATAAAAAACCAGCATGGTAATGGCATAAAAATAGACATGTTGATCAATGGAACTGAACTGAAGACATAGATATATACCCACATACCAAAGAACACCTGATCTTTGAAAAATGCCAGAAATACAAACTGGAAAAAAAAGGCAGCAGTATCTTCAACAAATAGTGCTGGTCAAACTGAATGTCTACATGCAGAAGAATACAAATAGATCCATATTTATCATCATGTACAAAATTCAACTACAAATAGATAAAAAAGACCACAATATAAAACCAGATACACTGAACCTGACAGAAGAAAAAGTGGGGAGTAGCCTTGAATGCATTGGCACAGGAGAGACTAACTGAACAGAACACCAATAGTACAGACACTGAGATCAACAATAACAAATGGAATTTCATGAAACGAGCTTCTGCACGGCACAGGACACCATCATTTGGACAAAGTTGCAGCTTAAAGATTGGAAAAGGGTTTTTTCCCAACCCCACATCCAATAAATGACTAATATCCAAAATACACAGAGAACTCAAGAAACCAGATAACCCAATTAAAAAATCGAGTACAGATATAAACTGAATTCTAAAGAGAGGAAACTCAAATGGCTGAGAAACACTTAAGGAAATGTTTAACATCCTTAGCCATCAGGAAGATGCAAATCAAAATTTAGTGATTCCATCTTACACCTGTCAAAATGGCCAAGATCAAAAACACAAGTGACAGCTTATGCTGGAGAGGATGTGGTGCAAGGGAAACACTCCTCCACTGCCAACTTGTACAGCCACTCTGGTAATCAATATAGTGGTTCCTTAGGAAGATGGAATCAATACACTTCAAGATTCAGTTATACAACTCCTGGGTTTATACCCAAAGGATGCGTCATCCTACCACAGAAACATGCTCAACCATGCTCACCACTACTCTATTCATAATAGTCAGAAATTGGAAACAACCTAGATGTCCCTCAACAGAAAAATGGATAAAGAAAATGTGGTACATTCACACACTGGATTATTGCTCAGTTATAAAAATGACACCATGAAATTTTCAGGCAAATTGATGTAATTAGAAAAAAAGCCATCCTGCATGAGGTAACCCACCCAAAAAGATAAATATGGTATGTATTTGCATATGTAGATACTAACCATTAAATAAATGATTATCAATCTGCAATCTGTACACCCTGAGAAGTTAGGTATAGAGGAAGGAACTGGGACACACACACACACACACACACACACACACACACACACACACACACACACACACCGTACCTAAACCTTCCTGAGAGGGGAAACGGAATAGATTTTATGGGTGGACTGGGGGTGGATGGAGCAGATGGGAACAGGAGGATCAGGTGGGAAGGAGGAGGGGAGATGGTAATGAGGGAGGGAATGCAGGGAGGGACAGCTAGTATTGAGGGGCATTTGGGAGTAGTATGAAAACCTAGTACAGTGGACATTTCCTAAAATACAAAGTCTTCAAATAAAGAGGGAAATGGAGGCCCAGCTGGTCACCTCTTGTCACCAAAATTATTTCCAGTACTGGTACTGGGTTACATTCAATTGAGTTGCTGGCCAATGGGTTATGTGGAAATCCCCAAACAACCCAGGCTGTTGCCAAGACAGTTGTCTCCACAAACTGACAGCAAGGCCCCACTGAAGACAACACGCACACAACTCACTGAACATGGAGCAATCAATCTGGTGCCCACACAGAACCTTCCCATGTCCTGGTATCTTTAGTACAGTAAAATACTCTGCAGGCTACCAAAAGAGAACTGCAAACACCAAGCCAGCCACAAAACCTCTGATATGCAATCTTCCTGCCTGCAAGACATGCAATGGTGGCACAAAGTTTGTGTGTGGGAGTGCTTAACTAGTGTCTGATGTGACGTCAGGCCCACCCGACGAGATGGAAACCATACCCAACACTGTCTGGGTGACCAAGGAACAGAGACTTAGGGTAAAACCCAACACTACTGGTCAAAACAAATATATATATAGTAATGAAATGACTCCTAATGCCATTTTGCTATACTCATAGATCAGTGCCTTGCTCAGCCATCATCAGAGAGGCTTCTTCCTGCAGCAGATGGGAATAAATAAAGAGACACAGTCAGACATGCAGAGAAAAACTTTGGAACATACAGCTCTAAATAGGATGTCTCATCAATTCTCTCCCATCAGAGCTCAGGGAACCCTGAGGAATAGGAGGCAGGAAGAGTATCGGAACCAGAGGAGATGAGACACCAGGAGAACAAGGCCCTCTAAACCAAATGAGCAAACCTCACATGAACTCACAGACACTGAGGCAGCATACAAGGGCTGACCAGGGTCTGCAGCAGGTCCTCTGTATTTTTATTACAGCTTTCAGTTTAGTATTTGTATAGGATTCCTGAGTGTGGGAACCAGTGGGTCTAATTCTAGTGCCTCCTCTTGGGGCTCTTTTCCTCTTGTTGGTTTGCCTTGTCCAACTTCAGGGTGATGTTTTTTGTCTTATCTTATTGTATTTTATTTTGTTATGTTTGGCTGTTATCTTAGAAGCATGCTCTTCTTTCTAATGAGAAACAGAAAGGGAGTAGATCCAGATGGGAGAGGAGGCGAGGCGGGATTGGAAGGAGTAGAGGGAAGGGAAACTGCAATCCAGATACACTGATTGATAAAAATAATCTTCCAGTAAAAGGAGAAGCGATAAAAAAAAAATGGGACACGTCTTAATAAGGGATAGCCCTTCTATGGAAGGAGAAGATGGCATGATGACACGGGAGGTGTCACAGGATGGGTACAGATAGATGACAGAGTACGAGACGTTCAAGTGGCTGATGAGATTGTAGCAAGGGCTGGGCTTACTTCCGGCTGTCCTTGAAGGCGTGCAAAAAGCAAATGAC